ATGCAGATTTTTTAAAAAATACACATAAGAAAAGACATATCCTGTAGCAAAATCCTTCAAATTCATCCAGGTTCCTGACTGACCCTAAGGCTGAAAAACCCATGCATGTTTGCTGTAAATTAAAATCTCACCAAATTCAGTGAGGTTTCTTTCATGTATACATATTACATCCAGCTACAGGGCATATAGTAACCTCTTGCTCTTTCTGCACATAGATTAGAATGTCTTTATATGCCAACTATATCATTTCCTGAAAAAAAATCAGTTCTGGCCTCAGCCACTTTAAGCCTAGTTTAGACCTAGTTAAACCTAGAGATTTTGTGTTAGTCATGGTTTATTGAATAAACCACAGCTGGCTGAGTTCACACAAATATTATGGCTTAATGTAATGTACTATATATATATATAGTACATTGTATATATATTACATAGTTATAATGTATAGTACATAATGTATAGTACATACATTATAACTATGTAACTATAGGTACATAGTTATATATATAGTATATATAACTATACTTTTATAATACACTTTTTAAGGAGCTGCCTCAAAGCAATGTGAAAGCTTCAAATAATCAGAAATCCAGTATAAAGTTGCATTTTCCATACTTCTAGACTCAATCTGACATGATGTCTTTGACTTTCAGAGTCCTAAATTAAGAGTGGGCAAATAGCAATCTTATAGTTACATATAACTGCATACTACAATTTCCAATTTCTAGAAATAATGAACTCACCATCCTTTGGCTGCCAGAAAAAAAAAAAATTAACACACCACAAGCCCTCACTGCTCTGGTCAGAGGAACTGCCACCATAAATTAGGTTGCTAAGGTTGTAGCTTCCATCATAGAGATAAATGCGAAGTTCATAAGTGTAAAAATATTGAGTCACACTTGATTCCTGGTGATTAGATCCATGCATTTTTATTGGCAGTATTGCAGAAGTGGCTTGCCACTGTCTTCCTCCAGGATGTTTTATTTCTCTTATAGTTCTGGATTGTCTCCCTTCTAAATACTAATGAAGGCTAAG